AATTAAATATAGATTTAATGAATGTAAAAAGTAAATGTCGAAGAAATAATAAAATATGTATATTACATATTTAGTGATGAGGAGTAACTTGTTACTTATATAATAAAGTTATAATTAAAGTTACTCTTTTTATAATAATATTTATAATATTTATATAATATTTATAATATTTATATAATAATATATAATACATTTGAAAAATAGTATAGTAATTATAAAAGTAACTATTAAATTAGTTAATAACTACACTGAAAAAAATATAGTCAATTTTAATAAATATTTACTTGAATACTGCCAACTAAATATTTATTAAATATAAACATATATTTATTTGATATAAGAAATGATAATTTGATTTAACAATCTTTTTTTTTACTGAACAAATATTTTTTTACTGTAAGTAAATGTTTAGTTGGCAGGAACTAAATATTTATTAAAATTGATTATATTTTTTTCTCAGTATAGATATAAAAGTGTAATTATAACTTAGTATATTATTAACTGTAACTTAGCTATAACTAACTAATTTAATAGTTAATTTTATAATTGAGGAGATGGGCAATTACAGGCTTAATTACAAAATCTTGATATTAATAAAAATTAAAATAACTTGCTACTTTTTTATTATACACAAATGAGTACACATTAAATGAATTTATGTAATATCTTTAAGAAGTTACATGTTATAATATTTTTCTATTACGATCAATAATACACGAAAAAGATAGTTGCCGGAAAAAGGGCTTAAATAGAACTGTGACTTTATTCCATCCATCCCCTCAATTACTGTATACATTTTTCAAATTTATTATATATTATTATAAATATATATGTACTACATTTAAAAAAAAAATAAAATATTCATTAACAATCAGTTAAAATGATGCGTCTAGACATATAGTAATTAATAAAATTATCATATATCTGTTACGTCAATAAAACTTTAATTTATCACTCACCAATCAGATGCGCAACAACGGAGTTACATTTGCAATGTCGCTACGATGATTCTATAACAAAAAGAATATGAAATCTTAATTAAAACAGAGCACAAAAATCAATCAATATTTTAAAAAATTTAAACAAAAAATTGAGAAAATAAAAAAAATATTTATTGAACACAAAGTTATCTTGAATAATTATATAATAACTATATAATTTTTAAATACATAATTTTTATAACAATCGAATTTTTTAATTCACCATTCAATTAGGCATTTATAAAAATAATTATACGTTTTCTGAAAAAGATCTTAAAAATACATATTTATAAAATTTCTATAAAAAAATTTAATAAAAATTTCAGATTATATTTTCCCTGTGAGAGGGAAAATATAATCTGAAAAATATATAGCTGTAATATACAGCTGTTATCTATATTATCTGTGCAATTATCGGTTGACTTTCAGAAATGAATATTAAACATATATCAATTCATCTCCATTGCGAAATAAATTCAGAGTGGATAAAAGGGCTGAATCTCTTATTACGATGTCTGTAAAATATAATTAGAGTTAATGGAATAGGCTATAGAGAATAATAAAAAAGAGGAATATTTCTTTTATTACCGACAAACAGTTTCAAAGTTACATTCAATTTTTTATCATATTATGAAAAATGCAAGAAAATGAAAAATTAATTAAATTATTAATTGTCAAATTATATTAATTGTGAAAATAGAAATCGCATAAATTGCATGAGAGTATTTACATAACTTTTTTATGATTCGTGTGAAGAATAATCGAGAATTATATTCAAGAGAGACAAAAATGTTACATTTAATAAAAATAATTGTCGTCCGTATCGCGAAATAGTAATAAATTCTGTTTTCTCCATCATGTTTTGATTTCATACGAATAAATCGTACGAAATATGTGTTCCGTGATATATGATTGTCATCTCGATTCTTTAGAGAAGAATAATTAATCGTGTGAGCTAGTAATCTGTGAGTTCATCTGAGAATTCGTAAAGTATAATGTTTCATATTATCTAGCATTTGTCGCGATTATGTTTCAAAAAGAAATATGAAGAAGAAGAAAAGCGGCACGCGACACGGCTACCCGCCTGTATGAACCTCGGCAATGAAATGACTGCGCGATAACTTCGCATAAACGTGACGCATCGTCCGCCCGCTTGTCCGCCCGCCCGCCCTTTCGCATCAAAACAATCTCAAAGGTCGCGCGCCGATCATCTAACTGTCGAAACATTAATGAATATTATAAAATCAGTTAATTAATAATTTATAGTCGTTACATTTTTCAGATTCTTCGATGAGTAGGCTTTATTGCAACTGACATATTTTATATACAATTATATATAATTATATA